AAAAAAAAGAAAGAAAAAAAAGAAAGAAAGAAAGAAAGAAAGAAAGAAAGAAAGAAAGAAAGAAAGAAAGAAAGAAAGAAAGAAAGAAAAAAAGAAAGAAAAAAAGAAAGAAAGAAAAAAGAAAGAAAGAAAGAAAAAAGAAAGAAAGAAAAAAAGAAAGAAAGAAAGAAAAAAGAAAGAAAAAAAGAAAGAAAGAAAAAAAGAAAGAAAGAAAGAAAAAAGAAAGAAAGAAAAAAAGAAAGAAAGAAAGAAAAAAGAAAGAAAAAAAGAAAGAAAGAAAGAAAAAAAAGAAAGAAAGAAAAAGAAAGAAACAGACAGGACACACACACACATACACACACACGAGCTGAGATCACCAGGACTCAAAGGTTTTTCCCAGGCAGGGGAAAACGAGAAGAAACATCAGCGTCAGCATGACGAAGTTTGCAGCTACAAACAAAACGTTGCAGGTAAATAAACCTGTGTTTTAAAAAGAACTAAAAAATGCAATTAGAATTTCAACACAACAAGAACTCAAAGATGAGAAGAAATGTGATCAAGTGGCATGAAAAGAAATTCGACAGCACAATGAAATGTTACAGACAGACTGTTAACGCGGATAAAAACCAGCAAGATCCTCAAAAAACAAAGTTCAAGATGCGTGTAAAGAAACTAAGAAAAGGTTACAACATGGACGACGTCCATCACACACTAACCACAGCCCACCATCATGACACACATCAGGTAATGGTGTCATCATTAAAGCTATTAGTTCCACCAGAGCTTTTCCTGAAATATCAAGTCATTATTCCTGCTGTGAAGAAAGCCTGAACACTGGTGGATGAACGCATCAGAGGCGATTCTGTAATTCCTCGGCCGCGGCGTAATGATGACGATCATACATGAAGTGGTTCGACTGTCAGCATCGATGAGAGTGCCGCCACAACCACGAATACTCAGACATTTAACATTTTTAACGGGGACCAGAATTATCAGGAAACACATTAAATTCTTATTTTAGTTCAATTCAATGACTGCATTCATGCATTTGTACGTCTGCTCCAATCACAGTAGAGCAAAGAGAGTGAGACTGTCTGGAACATCCTCTGCTAACACTAAAGTGTGAACTAAACCTTTTCTCCTGTTTTTGGCATCTAGAAGAACTCTGTCTGAAACTTTAAAAACTAAAACTTTTATTGTTAGATTAATAAAATTGAGTTAAATGCAAACTATCGCAATAAACGCTTCTAAAAAGGTAGCTCACGTTATCGTTACCTTTTGTTTTATGACACTTGTCGCTTCAGGTTAGAGGATTTTTCTCTTGGTGTGGAAGCTTAAGGGTTAAATTGATCCTAAAAGCATTCATCGTTGATCTTTTACAGTCAGGATTCCAGTCCAACCTCAGAGCATCACACTGATTCGGTTATTGCCAGCAGCCGAGACGTTTCCCTAGTGACTGAACATTAAAACAAAAAGCAGCTTCAGGAGTAGGGACTGATGCAAACTTCCTCTTTTCCTTTTTAGGAAACAAACTTTATCCCAACAAACCCAACAGGATCCTCCTCATGTCCCCTAAAAAGGAGCCGCGATGACACGAATGTTTAATGAGTTAAACACAGTTAGTCACCGACACACGAAGATCATCTCTGGGGAGATTATCAAACCCTCAGAGGACTTTACAGACCGGATGAATATTTTATTCTAAATGTGTCTCAATTAGAAAAATTATCCTAAACTGTTAGGTGGTAAACTTCTGAGCATCCAGGAAACTGAAGTGCTGGGCAGTGTGTCTGCTTCCTGCAGCGTTCTGATAGTGAGAGTCAGACGCAGCATCATGGTGGAAGAGGTGTTGGTGGAGTTTGTGACTTTTCAGTCTGCAGCTGCATTCAGTGAAACGTGTCTGACCATGTTCCATCTACCACTGTGCTTTTTAAACCTTAATTCAACAGACAGCAGCTCCAACAGACAGCAGCTCCAACAGACAGCAGCTCCAACAGACAGCAGCTCCAAATGACTTGAAGAGAATAAAAGATTTCGCCTACCTGGAGTCACACCCTCAACCACAACGGGCGCGGCCGATCCCACCTTTGTTTCTCCTCTGGAGGAAGAATCTTTGTTTATTTTCCAGCTAAACTTTGTTATTTTAGCCCATTAAAGAGGGATGTTTGTTTCAGAGAGCTTCTGCAGGGGAGGACCTGCTTCTGCACGAACATCAACGGCCACGGGAAACAGACGCGAGGAAGAAGAAAAACCAGATTAATCAGATTAAAGCAAAAAAAAACTACACTTTATTAAGAACTAAGGTCAAATCTGCATGTGGTCAATGTTAAATTAAACCTTTTTTTAGTTTAAAGACAGAATTTTGAAATAAGAAAAAACTTTGGAAGATGTTTTCTTGTTTAATGACTATGCTACTTTATTTTTAAAAAGAAATTTGCATAGTTTGTTGTTTAAATCTTAAAACTACATTTAAAAAAATGATAATTTAGAAAATAAGTCATAGACAGCTGTCCAAATTCAATCCACATCTCCATCATGCATCATCCATACCATTATAAATTATACTTATTTTAAATATGTATACATGATATTTATATTATTAAAAATATTACTATATAGTTGTAATATTTTATTATTTGTTTAACTTAACATCTAAAAAAACATTTAATCTAAATATATTTTTGTTGGAATGACAAAATTGTCACAATTAGAATAAATAAATCCACAATCACTAATAAATGAAATAGCACAGCCCTCATTAGTCATGAGTGATTTAAAAAATACTTTAAAATATATTCAGTATTGAAGTTCTAGAAATTTCAGCTACATAAATAAAGTGAATTTCTGCAAAAGAAACATCAGAAAACACTAAAAATGTGAAGGTTTTTTAGACATAAAACCTACAGATACGGATGGAATAACTCATCAGTAAAGAGTTCAGGTGGAGCCTTTAAAACCCGAGACCTGCTGAGATCTGATGGGTTTCCAGCTGCAGGTGACTCAGCTGCATGTCTTGAGAGCATGTGAGGTTCGCCGTGAAGCTGCTGAGTCGCATCTCTGGGGTTCTGGTGGGGAGGCTGCAGGCTCATCCCACAGCCACCCATGTTTACAGATTTAGCTGCTGTTTTTCCAACAGGTTTTAATCATTCATAAGTCAGACAGCTTCTGGGACAACGGCTGGCGTTCTCCTCAGACAACTTGAGGTTCTTGCTCCAGGAAGTGAAAACAAACAAAGACGATGCATTCAGGATGAACAGGTGTGTCCCCTCACCCATACACTCCAGCAGCCGGAGACGTAGCTGCTGCCTGGTGTAGCTCAGCTGCACTCAGTGTTTATTAATAAAGCCCACTTCCCACCAGAGTCCAGTCAGCTCATTCCAAAGGCCATGAAAAACCTCTGAGTCACCACCCTGCCACAGAGCCATAGCAACCAAACACTAAACAGGCTGGTTAAAGTGCAGGCAGATGAAAGCAGCAAGGCTGCAGTGAGCAGAGCTTTTCCAGGAACATTAACACGACAGACCCCGAGTGCTGATCTCTCAGCACAAGGAAATGACCAGAGGCCTTTCTGTCGCCCACGTGCCACAAACGCTGATTGATTTTGGGACAAAAATCAACAGACAACAGCTGCATGATACAAACGAGAGCATAAACCACAAACATCACTATGATGCAGAGTAGAAGCAAAAACACCTCATGTTCATATTACACTGAGCTGGGCCATCCATTGTTATAAAATAGGCATGTGGAAACACGAGAAATGCTGCCAGACGTTGCTGAGGAGCTCATACAAACGGTTTCATTTTCTTAAATCTGATGCGCTTTGTTCACATTTCCCTAGAACCCGTGTCTGTCTGCCCGAGGCCAAGAGTGGATCTCTGAGGCAACACCCGAGTTAGGAACGAACCCGGTGATGACAGCACACCAATCCAGGTACCTTATATAAGTTATTATTAGGAAAAGCACCGCTTCTGGTTTTCGGGGCCGATTCCTAGTTAAGATTTTTATCCGATTCCAGTTTAGACTCGATTTGTTACTGAAGTAAAAGCTTCCACAGTGATGAATTATTGGAAAGAGACCGTTTGTTGATCCAAAACATAAATTCTGAGTTTTTTGTCAAGTCGATCACACGGGGTTTTCATAGCATGTGACCATAATTATAGAACCAACAATGATTCCACCTTAAAAGGCTGAGGTCGTTCACTTATTTGTGAATAGAATTAAAATCCAATTTTGTTTCCTTTCATTAGATGTTGAGTAAAATTTTTATTGAGTCTAACGACTTCATTCTGTTCATATTTCACCTGAACAAGCAGGTGGTTAGAGAGGGTGTGGTCGTTGGTTCAGAGGTGTGGCAGTATCACCCCCCACCCCTGGGCTTATAGAAACATACCTGGACTTGTTAGCAGATGAGTCACACACACACACACACACACACACACACACACACACACACACACACACACACACACACACACATGTGCTCCTACTTCACACCACATTCCTGCTGTTGCACCACCTCAGATCTTTTGAAAACTGGGCGTGAGCTGAAGACTCCAACAGTAACAGGAACTAGATCAGTAATGAATAAATAAAAACTCTCCCCTGCAGGCGCTGCTGTGGATGAACACATGAACATAAATCTGTTTAACACTAATTGAAGATAGAGTGTGTTCTCGCGGAAGAGTCTCAGCTGGGACAGAAACACTCATGTGATGTGGAACTGTCACCATAAATCTCATGTTTGGGGCTTTATGATGTTCGCCCTAAACACACATTTATCTTAGTTATCTTTATGTAAAAACTATAAAGTAAACTTTTGTGAAGAATCAGAAGAAAATTCCCAAACTGCAGTGGGATCACGTATGAAAACCTCCTGGGTGTTCTCCGGCAGAGCCACGTTAAGGATTTACGAGTGAAACAGCTTGAAATCCTTCTGTTAATAGTTTACACAGACAATACTCGAGGTTGAGTCACACAGCAGTGTCGAGGTGGGCGTGGCCACAGAGAGACCCTCCTACCTGGCTTTCAGCTCCTTGTGCTCCTCTTTGATCTTGCCCAGCTCTAGTTGCAGCCGTGCCCGCTCCTTGGCCACCTGGTCCAGGGTTTTTCGAGCATCAGCCAGCTCCGTCTCGTAGGCCGCCTTGATGCCAGACAGGTCACGGGTCACCTCCGACTCGGACTCGGAGATGCGTAGTCTGAGAGAGGCATTCTCAGATTCCAGGGAGCGCACCTTGTCGATGTAGACGGCCAGACGGTCGTTCAGGTTGCACAGATCCTCCTTCTCCTGCAGCCGGGTGATACGGGCCGGTGAGACAGCGCCGCTGCGGGTGCTACGCTTTTGGCTCGGCGTTTCCATGGCGGATGTTGCTCAGGTAGTAGTGCAGATGAGGTGAGCTGTAGGTGAGGAGAGACGTGTTGAACAGGACGGAACTGCTTTCCCTGAAATAAACCTATCTAGGATAGTTCCCACCCACTATATGAAAAACCCTGTAGATCTATTAGATCTATATCTGAGATCCAACCGCAGGTCTCCGTGGAAACTAAACAACAAGGGTGCTGATGAGGTTTATTTTTGAAACAAAGTTAAATAAAGTTTTGACTTGAAGCACAAAGGTTTCTTTCAGCTCCTCCAAGTCTTGTTTATCCTCTTTTCTTCTTCTTCAGCACAGACCTCCCATCCCCTACCTCCATGCTTTTACCTTCCTCTGTAATTACGCATAAAGCTGCAAAGGGTGAAATAAACAAACATCCTCCCTCCAGAGATTGGCAAAATGAAGGAAAGCAGCTAAAAAAGCTGCTAATTGCTTCGACTCTCCTGAGATCAGTGTTCGGCTGTAATTTTTCAGCTGATTGCAACATATTTAAATACACAAGATAAGCATCGAGTCACGGTCTAAATTAAAGCTGCAGGATTTTCAGGGAACTTATCCTTTCTGAATGATTGGGACATCAGGCATAATGGCAGCGATTGGATTAAAGCCTCCGACTAATGAAGCTTAAATTCTATTATCGCCATATTTTTATCCGTTTTCTGCCTCTGTGTCATCCTGACTCCTATCAACATTTGAAATACATTTCTGTGGGAACAAAACTTTGAATCGGTCTGATTTTTTTACGTTAACGTGACTGGAACTGAGATTATGTTTGTATGTTTTTAAACAGAGACACTCTGATTCTTGTTCTGATTTAGGATTATTACTCGTCAATACAAAGTTACCTGATGCCGTTTCCATGAATTCAATAAGGAGCCAAGAAAAATGACACTGTCCTGGTCTGTGGACTCACCATCACAAATTATGAAAGGTGGCAACAGTAGATCTTCCATGTGGAAGTTTAAACTTCCAGAATAGCATCTTTTATAATAATAGCTGTTTCTAATCCAACCAATTTGGTACCGGTGGGTCTGAACTGTACAAGCATCAGAAATTGGTATCGGCTCAAAACCAGAATCGGTGCAGCTCTTGTTAAAAGCAAATTAAATGGATATGGATTTAATACGTAAAGGATTATAGTTGGATTTAAAAAAGGAATATAAAAAAATTTACATTAGATATTTTACCCATAAATTAAAAATAACTCATCTACATAAAAATCCTAATTGGCATTGATCCTAACCAGCCGTACTTTCATTAAAATTATCGCATTAGAATCAATAACAGACTTCACTAGTCCTCTCTGACTCATGAGTGGGTGGACACGCCAAACTTCACCATCTCTGACCTCCTACTACAGAGCGCACGCATGAGCATGCACGCCCAAGTGGGTGGAGTGGTGTGTGCACACACCCACACACTCACCAGCGCCCAGGACCAACTTTGAATTAAGGAAACATAAATTTAACCTCCAAACGTGCCAAATTATTCAAAAGACTCCCAGATAAAAAGGAAAAATGACTGATCAGACAGTTAAAACCTCACAGGAGACAGAAACAAAGCAACGCTCTGAATCCTACCGTGGCTGAGTGGAACTCCTCCCTGCAGCCTGCTGAAGGATCCGAAAGTATACGCAGGACCTTTCTGGAAGTGAATCTGCTGCTGTGGGTGAGCAGAAGCAGCTGTGAGGATCGGTGGGACAACAAGGTCCTGCTCTCGGCTGGTGGGTGTGTTCGCCTTTGGCTAGAGCCCTGAACTGCCCGGTGTCGCTGCAGCACATGTAACTAGTGCAGTAGAGGGAGGGGAGGCGGGAGCAGCAGCTGGGAGAGGGGAGGGAGAGGCTGTGAGGAGGAGTCAGAGCCACACACACACACACACACACATATCTGCTGCTGCTGCATCTCGCTCGGCACTGCCTCTATCCTTTCCCTTCTCATTTCACTCCCTGACCTCAGCGAGCGGAGCAAGTGGTCCGTCAATGAAAAACACCGATGATTCCAAGCTGTTCCTTCACAAATGAAAAAGCACACCGATTTCATCCTGAGATTATCTGGTTACATAAGAGTTTTAAATAAAAACAAAGAAAATAGATTCCAAAAAAACAGCTTTTAAAGGTATGATGGATGACCCCTAGCCTAGACAGTCATAGAAATGTGCACTAAAGCAAAAATTACAAAACCACAACGTTGTCGTGTTAATCCAAGACAGAACATCCACAAGCCGAAGAGGTTTTAATCCAAAAACAAAGGATAAAATTATTCCCACAGGTCGCTTTAGACATCTGACACTCGGCACAGGCCGACTCTGGTTTTATATTATTTCTTCTGGGTGGAGTTAAGGGATTCACAGGTCCAATCAAGTCCTGATGCTGGGGAAAAAGTTGGCTTTTTTATTTATCTCCTCACCCTGGAAATAATGTGCAACGTGCATGACGGTGTGCCTGCTTTTGGGCATAGGGCAGCGGCTGTGGAAGTATCCTGGCTGCAGCCTGGCCTTCCAGTAGAACCCAGCCTCCGAGTCACATGACCCGGGTACCAACTCCTCACGCGTTCTGTCCTCCTCCTCCTTTTTATTGTGTGCCGTGAAGAGACACACAGAGATTTACCTGCTGATCAAAATGACTCAAATCTGAAACTTGTTTTATGGTTTTTAAATTCTAGTTCTTTAAAAAAAATTAACAGCCGATCAGATTTAAACATAACCTGTAAATCTGTGTCGGCCCTCAAACCCAGAATCGGTGCATCTCTACAGCTGGATCTTTAAAGTTAATAACCAATCAGGTGTGAAACAGGGATGTGCTCTCCTCCCATCATCCTTCATGTGTCCAAAGCCTGGATGTCTTCCTTCGCCCGACTGAGACACTGAATGTAAATCTCAGCTCGAGTCCTGAAACAGGAGCAGGCATGGCATATGTGATGAAACTCTGCACACAATAAACCAGCAGACAGCTCTCTTCTTGCCTTTTCTCTCTCCATTTGCCCTGTGGCGCTCAGAGTGGGCATGAAAAGAATAAAGCATACAGGAATGCCCAGCATGTGATCCAGCTCCAGCTCAGATCTCCTCAGAGAGAGGGAGGCAGAGAGCGGAGAAGGGAAAACAAAAACTAGCAGCTTTTGTCTGAGGAACGGCTTTACTGAAGCTTTTTGTTTCCGATGGAAACCAGAGGAGCTGCTCACACCAGCTCTGCAGAACAAACAAATGCTTCTCGTTTTTATCTCATCACCACACGGAAGTTTGGTTTGGATGAGATTTTAATAACTAAATGAGAAAGCACATCTGAGCCTGGTTTCAGCTCGACACGTTCCTCGTCTCCTCAGAGAAAGTTCCTCTCTTATGGATGTTTAGAACAGAACATGTGTGAGAAAACACACTGGCAAGATGTTTAGACTCTGAGATGTGAAATCAGAACTGCGAGGGGATCATCTTTGATCCAGTCTGCTGATTAATCTGAAGAGATGTACCATGGGACAGGAAGCAGCTCCTCCAGAGGGAATCTTGTGACAAAGTGTCCACATCCATGCCGAGTAACTCATCTTCTGGTTCTAAAAGTCCTTTTATGGTTCCGTGGATGTTAGAACTTTTGGTACCATGTGTTTTTTCATCAGTATGCTGCTCGTGTTTCAAAGGCCGGCTGAAGATGTGTCAGGCTGAGTCTTTAACCCTTTAATGGGCCGGTAGACTGCTGGGATTAAGCCTCGTGTCTTGCAAAAACATGCACAAAACTAAACTCGTTATTTTCCTAAACTACAAAAAAAAAGTATAATTTGAATAAGGTTAGGGCAAAATTACTTTACTTTTTAATTGCTGATAAACCATATAAATGAGTATCTAAAAGTGCTGTAGACATGTAGTCATTTCGGCATTTTAGTAGCCTAAATCTAGACCAAGCAGTAGCAAAAGGGTTTTGCTTTGTAGGTTGGCCTTGCCACACTCCATAGGACTGCCCCACTGAACAACATCTGTAGCAGTGGGTACATCACGTTGTCTGATAGGGAGCCTAAAGCCTGGGGAACACTGAAGAGAGGCGCGGTGCATCACGCCCGCACCATCATTTTAAATAGAAGCCTTGATAGTTACTAAAAGTGGCTAGACGGGGAGCGCAGCGCCACATAACAGCAGCGCAACGCAGAGGCGCTGAAGATGGGCGCCTGTTCTATTTCAAGTGCTTTTAACTAGAACTTTGTGGAGTACTTTACAACAGACATTACACACGGAACGGCAAGTTCCACTTGTTACATGCCATGGATTTCACATTTGATGTCCGTGAATTTTAAAGATGCATTTTGATACCAAGAAAGCGCTTAATTTCTAATGAGGGGAAACGCTATTTTAAGTTTTGTGTGAAAACAAATTCAGGACTACAAATGCGCTTCACGAAAGTGATGTAATCGAACCAGACAGAGGGAAAATGGCTGGCATCTGGCCATGTGGTAAGTAGCAGCTACGCTAGGGGAGAGGAGATTATGTGGTGACATCATATATGTGACGTACCGATGTCCGATTTATAGTCATGCTAATTACCAACATTTACAAGCTGATAAACCTGAAAGTACGTGACTGGCGTGGTCGAACCACACCTCTTTATATTTCATTTAAATATGTGCAGTCCAGGGCATAAGGCAAAGTAGATTAGAAAACAGTCCCATTCACTAGCATTCATTTTTTCCTTCTTCTGGGGACTCATGAGTTGACCAGAAAAGGAGGAGAGTTGAGACTAATTTATACTTCTCCATCTGCATCGGGATGGACACACGCAATGCCATCCTTGCGAGCCTGCTGGAGAGCCCTCGCAAGGACGGATGGAGTCACGCGCTCTTTTCTAAACGTATGTGGTCAGGATGCCACTGTTGTTTAAAGTGCCGCCATTGCGCCCTCAAAAACATAAAGAGAGCCAAGGATATCTAGTGACAGACATGGAGATGCTTAAAGAATACCTCGTGGAAAAACTCTAAAAATATGACCGTTTTATTCCCTCGTGATTGGAGGAGTGAAACGATTCGCAGCCAACATTTTATTTGTGGAAGGAAATTATGGGAAACGTGGGTTTAGAGGTGGTGAGCACATGAAGAGGTGGAGGAGGATGAGGGGCAAATTTGTCCCTGTTAAAAAGTCTCTTAAATAGAATTAAAAAATATATATATACACACAGGTCCTTCTAAAAAATTAGCATTTTGTGATAAAGTTCATTATTTTCTGTAATGTACTGATAAACTGAGAAAGTGGAGCACTTCATTCTTTCATCTGCTGAAAAGCTTTATGGAGATGAAGATTTCATTTTTCAGCATGACTCGGCACCTGCTCACAGTGCCAAGACCACTGGTAAATGGTTTACTGACCATGGTATTACTGTGCTCAATTGGCCTGCCAACTCTCCTGACCTGAGCCCCATAGAGAATCTGTGGAATATTGTGAAGAGGAAGTTGAGAGACGCAAGACCCAACACTCTGGATGAGCTTAAGGCCGCTATCGAAGCATCCTGGGCCTCCATAACACCTCAGCAGTGCCACAGGCTGATTGCCTCCATGCCACGCCGCATTGAAGCAGTCATTTCTGCAAAAGGATTCCCGACCAAGTACTGAGTGCATAACTGAACATAATTATTTGAAGGTTGACTTTTTTGTATTAAAAACACTTTTCTTTTATTGGTCGGGTGAAATATGCTAATTTTTTTGGATAGGAATTTTGGGTTTTCGTGAGCTGTATGCCAAAATCATCAATATTAGAAACAATAAAAGGCTTGAACTACTTCAGTTGTGTGTAATGAATCTAATTTATATGAAAGTCTAATGTTTATCAGTTCACTACAGACAATAATTAACTATCACAATATGCCAATTTTTTAGAAGGACCTGTAATATATATATATATATATATATATATATATATATATATATATATATATATATATATATATATATATATATATATATATATATATATATAACACACTATCTTGGGCAGCATACATGACAGGATACCGCAGAACAGTGCTACGCCCTCTGTTGTCCTGGTGGGGAATTGCTTTGCAACACTCTCCAGGAGACGGAGAAGTACAAGGGCAAATTGTCTCCGTTCGTGCGCGTCTCTCTTGTGGAGCAGACGGAGGTGTATGAATTTGGCTTAAGGCTCCCTGCAGCATGTGGAGACAGTTTATAAAACAATCCTAGGTTCTGCCCCACAACGAAGATCTCCTTATGGGTCATGGCCAGAATACATATTGGCTTGCCAGGCTAAAATTTTAGTGCATCTTATTAAAAATTAGAAAAAAATCCAGCCTGTTTTATAATCGCACCCTCTTCAGGTTAAATTCCGCACTACACTGAATTTAAATTAGCCATTGCTATTGGCTAAGAGTAGCCTGCGATGTCGCCGGTAACGTATCACATGGCTGCACTGCACTGGACTGCAGCAGCATCTCGGTCATGCCTCCAGCTGGCTTGGCCACTATCAGACAGTACAAAATGATACGGCTAAGAACCACGCTCCCTTAAAAATACTTCCTCCCGTCTTTCCTGTGGAGATCAAGGTGGACAGGAATTCTACGGCGCGCTGCTGTTTCCGTTTGTTTGCGCTGACTGAGCAGTGTTTGTTAAAAGCTTGTTTGTCCGACGGAGAAGCTCAGAGAGCATGCAAGGGGTGCAAGGGTGTCATTCACTGCCTCAGCGCAGCCATCTTGGTCTGCTAGGTGACGCCTCCTTTTGGGTGCATTTTTCAAACAGAAATGATTTGAAAACTATAAAAATGTGGTTGTACTTGTGGTGATTCCCATCGTCTGAGCGGTGGTGTACGATGTTTTTGCCTTTGTGTGCTCAGATTCTAATGAAACTCTCAGAAACACCCATAATCCACTGTTTGTTAGTGCTAACAGAGTTTACCTAACACAAACTGGTCTAAACGTGGCTAGCTTTACAGTCACGGAGCTAAAATATTTATAGCACTAGCAGCTCAGAATCACAGCTCAGGGTGCTGATGGAGCTTGTGAAGACGACCTCAATAGCTACGATTTCTTTTCTCAACAAACAAAAAGGTGGAAGTTGACATGAATTCCATCCAGGAATATCAGCAGGGGCGGCATTAGGCCTGGCTACTTGGGCTCAAGCCCCGAATGTTTAATGATAAGCCCCAGATCTAAATCGCGGAAGTAACATGCAGTACCAAAGTCCAACAGAGAGGGAGCCACTGGCAGTAGCTTGTATACAGCCTGCCTGAGCCTCCACCAATGAAGAAGAAGCCCGTCAGCAGCCGGCTTCTTTTGCAGTGCCTGGCTTCTTCTACTGTCTCTGCCTGAAATGCATGTGTGAAGATGAGGACGTTTTTTTAGACAAAAAATACAACAACAGAACCCCAGCTTTGATGAGACTGGTGTTGACTTAGGTTTGTGAGTCTTATTTGAAAATACCATCATCTCACATTAAACACTAACAGGAACAATACTCTGCCCTGAATATGCTTAATATGTAGCTTCAGATTAAAAATTATGTGGTACAAGACAAATATATATGATGTTGACTAGTGCGTGTCACGTATGTCTGCGTGCGTGTGTGTGTGTGTTAAGCCCCGGATCTTCTTCAGTCCTAAATCCGCCCCTGAATATCAGCCTTTACTGAGAAAATGAAACTGTAGGTAAAACCTAAAATACCACACACACACACACACACACACACACACACACACACACACACACACACACACACACACACACACACACACACACACACACACACACACACACACACACACACACACACACACACACACACACACACACACACACACACACACACACACACACACACACACCGCTGACTGATATTAAAGGCCTCCACACTTTTCAAGGGTTTTCAATTGCTTTTAAAACCCACATCCTTTTGGTTATTGTTTTTAAAAATACAGAAGAAAGCAGCTCGCAAATGAAGGTGTAACACATTTAAGCTCTGTTATTTTGGGTTTTACAGTCAACAAACTACGTTTTATTCAGTCATTTGGGGAAACACTAAAAGGTAAAGTGATCTCCTTTGGTGCAGCTTTGTCTTGTAAAAGTGAAGAATTCAATGCCAAAACTAACCACTGGAAAAGGCTTTAGATGTGTTCATTAACTGATCTTTAAAATTAAGATTGGAATCATAACAGAACAAAAAAAAATTTCAGTTTCAGGAATTATTTGTGTTTTTTTCTGACTTTCAGAGGAAGGCAGCAAGCTGTAATTATGTTTAATGTTAATATTTGTTTTATTATCTGAGAAAAACAAACAAACCCCCCACTTTAATCCTTTATTTGCCGTTTCCTGTTTTAATGAGTCAAATCGGCCTCTTTGACGCCCTCTGCTGCCTCGGTGGCCGCGCTGCGTGTCATTCAAAAAAAGCACGCCATCCACCGGTTAAACCCTCTCTTCCGCCTGGGTCACGGAGTTCATGAACTGACTCAACTCTCTTGTCAGCCTGCCTGCTTAAAAACACACCGAAAACCTCAAAGGGAAAATATTTCTGCTCTAAAAAACCCGCGACCTGCTCGGATGCTCGTCTCACCTTCAGTCCTCACCGCTGCCGTTTCAAACGAGCCTTTCTTCTCCACGCGGTTTACGGTGACCTTTCAAAAATGTTGACCGTCCGGCAAATTACCATATATTCCCCCCGTCGGGGAGACGAGGTTCCTTTAAAGGTTCAGGAGAACGGCAGAACCGAGCCCTACCGAGTCGAACCAGCACCCACCTGCAGATCTCTATCGTTGATTAACCTGCCAATCTCCGTTAATTAGGAGGCGGCTCTTGGACGCCATCTAGCGGCGCTAATTAACACCACTGAATAGAAATCCCCAAAAGACGAGTTAATTCATGTTTGTTTGTTTTTTATAATTCTTCTGCAGCACATTTAGGATGCACATAAATATCTGAATGTATTTGATTAATCTCTAAACTCAAAGACTTAAAACATAAAAAAAATTGTTATGACGTTGAAATCCTGTCTGATGGTATAACACATTTAGGTGCATAAATGTGTAAACTTCTTATATGGGAAAATATTGTATGTCATGCTATTTCTTAAGTTGCATAAATTATGTATTACAAAAACAGATTAAATAAAGACTAAAGTGATTTTGTAAAATCACAGATTAAAATAGTATAAGATACCAGAACTAAGGTAAGAAATTCACAGTCCCATCTGCCTTCCAAAAGCTTAAGAAAGACTAAAACAATTCTATTTTTGAACTTTTTTTTTTTGCCTTTTTCTCCAAAAGATGTGCTCACTTTAAAACAACTGAATTATAATATTTTAGATCCCAAATCATCCTTACAAATGAAAACATACCATAATGCCTCAGTCTGAAAAAGCATCTCAGACGAGCCAACCCCTACATCACAGAAAATGGAATGTGAGTAATTAAAAAAAACTATAAAAGCTCAAAGCTTTTATTCTGATTTGGTTTAAAGACAGGTCACTCAGATCAGCCAAAGTGAATAAACAAATATCCTAGCATCACTGATAAACACCAGAAGTCAGCTCAAGGGTCAGAGGTCACACACCTTACACCTTTGAGGAGAAGCTGCCGTCTGGTTCTTGGTTCTAATAGGTGAATGTTCTCCAGGGATGGAAGGTTCTCAGCAGCTCCCAGAACAGACCAGCATTTTTCAGCCTTCTGCTGAATTTGAGCCTGAATGATGCTGGCTGTGTTAGTGGCCTGTGTAAGGTCAGAGGTCATGTGTTGGCCTAGTCATTCAGCTGTTTCCAGCAGCTCCACAGCCTCCTGTCCAGTGGCGGAGGGTGTCACACCAATAGGAAAGCTCCTCTATCCTCATAATAAAACTTCACATTGGGGCTACTCTACAGCTTCAGACACTTAAACATGAAATCAGAAGATCACCAAGAGAGAAAAGTCCTCCCTGCTGTTTGTAAGCTGCAGGTTTTAGGTCTTTAGGTCTTTAGAGAAACCTTTAGGAGACACAAAATGGACACAAATGGCGGCAAATGGATCCAAAATTGCTGTAGGAGTCCAGAAATCGTGTCCTGGGTGAATATTTTTTTTACATTTTTTTCATTGCTGTAAAATATTTCTGTTTCTGAGTTCAACGCCAGAGAAGCAGTGGTTCAGGTTCACTTGTGATGATTAAGTCAGTTTAAGGCCCGGATGTCCACATGGGTCCAAATCAAAGTTACAATTACTCTGGAAATGTAGAAATCAATTATTTGAGATTATTTTTTTATTTCCCCAACAACATTAAACTTCTCATGTTTAATGAACAAAACAAAGTGACTTAGATGTTTGTGGCTGTGAGACATGAACGTTTCTGCTACGCTTGTCTTAACAAAATAAAAGCACAAGATTCCTGATCTGATGGGTGTTTCCTTGATTCTGGTTCTGATAAATAAAAGTGAGTTGATTATCAGGATCTGGGTCGCTCATGTTTGCTGGATTTAGTCAGGTTGCATGAACGGAGCTCATAATGTGCTGGGTGTTGAACTTAACTTTGCTCATTTTGAGATATTTCTCTCAGGGTTTTCAAGCCTCAGTCCAGTAAAAATCTCACCAAAAATATTAAAGTGTTTGCTCCAATTACTTGTGCTGCCATGGTTACACTGGACGTTGTAGGCCACTCAAAAGCCCACTGGGGCACAAATAGTCTGTGGCCCAATCTTTGGACACCTGTGGGTCACTGGTGACCCTAGCAGGTCTGGGTCAACAGTTAGGCTCTCATGTGTCCACTCAGTCTCCACTGACTCTTCTTTGGCAGTGACTGATGCTGTAACCTGCACTAAATTTCACATGAATTGATCATTTAATTACCGCTGCAGCCACAGAGCCGTCATCCAACGATTCCTCAAGGCAACAACACCATTATCGAGCTCTGCAGATGGTCCAGTTGAACGGTGCCGACAGTTTAACTCCCCGTGACCCCCGACTCAAACAGAAAAAAACACATCAGAACCAACCGGTGTGCAGCTTTAGCGTTCCTACGCATGCAGCTCTTATCATTATGTAACAGCTGAGCGAGAATCCTGCAAACGGTTTCGTGAATGATGGAGGACAGTAGGTCAGAGGAACCATCAGGATCTCTGAGAAGATGTGATGAGGTGAAACATCGGTTCTGCTAGCTCAGGCCAGTATGAGCTTATCAGCTGTAACACCACTAAACCAGCCAGAAAAGATACAGTGATCTTTTGGTTTGAAAGGAAAGTAAAAAATGGTGTTCACATCAGAGTGTTAGATGATGGCAGAGACATTTCAAATATAGGAATTGAAAATGCCAAATAACAAAAACAGATTTTGTAAATGAAATGAGTCCAGAACATCGAAATATATACTGGACAATTCCTGTCCATAGGCTCCAATTATAAGTTTTTGTGGCAAAATGGGAGGTTCCAACCACTGCCATTTTGACCATGTCACAGGTTCCGTCAAGCCCAGACAATTCCAAAAAGGGAAAAGAGGTGGAGCTGAGGGTGGGGCTGTAAGGCTGGGATCAAATGACGACAGCCATCGAACTGAAGCGATGTAGCTACAAGCTAACACAAAGCTAATGTCAAAGTTGGGACAGTTTATGCAGTGCTCTTTTACTGTGCAGAAGTCGGTTTTCCTTTAATTATCAATTGCATGTTGTTTTGTTCCAATTATTAATGCATGTTTTTCTTTTCTGAGATGTTTGCTTGTTTGCATGGATTTGTGTTTTCCTGTTATGAGCACAGAAAATGAACTTCTGATTGAGAGCAGCTGCGCAGCTCATAATCACGGACTGATGCGGCTTGGGATTGGACAATCGTGGGATTGGGACTTGATATAAGGACGCTGACAGGTGTGTGTAAGGGAGAGAGAGACGCGGAGCAAAGCCGCCGCAGAGTAACCGGGCAGCAGCGGGACCCGCGTTCCTGGAAACACGTTGGGTTGCGGTACCGACGCTTTCTATCTCCAGGGAGAGATCAGAGGACGCCGCGGAAGGATCCAGCTGTGACATCAGAATCATTCAACGCCCGCCAAACAGCTAAGTGAAGGGACGTGAAATATTGTGGCTATTTCCTGCGTGCCTGTGGATTCTGGGAGGGAAGTGAACGCCCCCCTGAGGTGTGTCTTGTGTTTTCCTCGCAGCGGCAGAACCGGAGCCAGGGAGGGAAGAGGAGCGGGGCAGCGGCCCACCCCGACTGATGACGAGCTGGAGGAGACGCAATCCGTGACGGAGCCCAGACGAGGGGGGCTGGGCCCTAGCCTGGAGATTTCCAAAAGCACCAGAAACTGAAGGACATCAGGGTGGCCCCTGCAGGACAGTAAAGAGAACGCACCAGAGCTCCAGTTGGTGGGAGCGACTGTTCTTTTCTGAACAGCAAAGACAGTTCTTTTTACATTTTTTTACAGACTGTTTTAAAGAGTTCCTTTTATATTTTTCTTAACAGACTGTTTTAGAATAAAACTTTTGGATCACACTTTGGTTTTAGTCTTCCTTTAACAGTGGAACTCTCATTAATGCTGGAATCAGGGAACCTGCTTGGTGACACTAACGTGAAGGTGGGAGGCAAGCTAACGGAGGTAGCTACCTAGCTACAATTGGAGTTAACAGTGCACAACACCGGAGCTTCTGAGTCAGAGATACACCGGGTTGACTGCTGCGTAAAACCGGGTGGAACACAGAGATCCCCCGAGAGCTCCACAAGACAGCAGCCCGCGCAGCAGACAGGCGCTGCTGCGATCAGAGATGTGCTGAGCTGCCGCTGAGGGGAGGGGACCATATCAATAGTCGGAATCCAGCTCCACCAACATGTTATATTTTCAACCCATTTTCAAAAATGCAGCGTTATGTTTAATGCACTGGGTTTTACCCTAATGGAGTGGCAGTGCTTGTCAACAACAGATGGTGCCATCCAGGTCATGTTTCGGTGGAGTGTCGTCTCTGCAGCCCAGATGTTGAGCTCTTGGCAGTAAATTGTCACCCATATTATTTGCCAAGAGAGTTCACCAGTGTTGTCTTGGCAACCATTTATATTCCACCTTCAGCCATTGCTGAAAATGCATGTGATGCCATCAGTTCCATTGTCGCTAAGCTACAAACCCAGCACCTCAGTGCAGTTGTGGCTATATCTGGTGATTTTAATCATGCCTCGCTCTCTGCTACACTTCCAGCATTTCAACAGTTTGTCAGCTACTCCACCAGAGAAAACAAGACATTGGATTTGTGTTATGCAAATGTAAAGAACGCATACATGTCCAAAACAAGACCTCCTCTGGGACAATCAGATCACAATCTTGTTTTTCTCTGCTCAGAATACAAACCACTTGTTCAGAGGCAACCTGTGACAAGAAGAACTGTGAGAAAATGGTCACAGGATGCTGAAGAAGCCCTGCAGAGTTGTTTTGAGACCACAGATTGGATGACTCTCTGCCAAGGATATTAAGAGGACATCAATGCCATAACTGGATGTGTCACTGACTATATAAACTTCTGTGTGGACAATATCATACCCACCAGAACAGTGAGATGCTTCGCTAATAACCAGTGGCGGCTCCAGAATTTTTTTTTCTGCAGGTGCTATGAAGGAGCTAGTCTTTTTATTGAGGGTGCTATGAAGGAAGTGGTCATGCGTACCTATTGTTCTCTAAAACACCTTCAACACTAGCAGATACACATGCGTGCACAAAACCTCAACAACACCTGAAACAATAATATACCCTAATATGTTTCATAAACATATGAACAATCGCTGACTTGTCCATGAAATCATAAGCACATACAG